TACGTTTGCTGTCACCGAAATGATAACAACTGTGTGACTATCGGCGAACACATGTTTTTACAAACCTTTTACTCCTTCATCCATTGAGTTATGGAACAATTTGGATGATAATATTAGACATGCAGCGTCACAAAGATATGTTTAATCCACAAGCTGTTCCTAAATATTTTCTATACGGAGATCGAAGTTTATGCACGTATTACGAATGTAGTGATCCTAATGCGGATTTTTATTAAAAAATCTTGTGCGAAATATTTCAAATATTTAGTAGTTATTTACTATCCATCCAGTTTCGCAGACGCCCAAAACTCCTCTACTATTATTCAGTTTTTGTTTGTAACTGTTCCATTATTCTTTAGATTATTCAATAATTCAAGGAAGAAGCTATTGCTAAAGTTGTAAGAACTCGTGGGTCAACCATTTTGGTACTTTTGTTAATATACTGTTATAGATGTGTACAAAATGAGAATTAGAAAAAGTTTACATAAAAAGCAACAACAACAACAAAAATGTTTTTATCGACTAAAGAATAAATTTACTGATTTCATCGTCATCTATCCGTAGAAGTGATAAGGAATTACCATAGTTGTTTTAAATTAATAATAACTAAGCAAAGAAAAGCATATTTGAAAAAGAAAGATAATAAGCGGAAAACCGCTCATTTGTTATGTATCTTTGGGGTATTGCTTTTTCTTTAATGATAATTAGCTAGATAGAATTCTGAAAGAAATCAAGCAGGTTTTACCACCTGATTCAGAAATATAACTACTTTTACTTGTATAACTACCTTACTCTCTCATTTTACATTAAAATGTATTGTTAAAACTATAAATATTTCTTCGAATAATGTAACAGCAAACCATTAATCTGACCAGACAAAAAAAAGGAGAAAATATAAGAAAAATGCCCCCAGTGGGGTTTTAATCATGCCCATTGGAAAATATTTTTCCTAGGTGAAAATGAAGTTTAGAGGGTATATAGAAATCAGCTTTTCAATCGGTCCGTCCACTGCATGGTTTTCGGACGATAATTAAAGTTTGGAATGAGTTATTGTAATCAAATTTCGTACATAGCAACCTTAATAAATACTCTGGTTGTGATTTATTGGACCCCTTGGCGGCAAGGTCAAGATCACTGTTACTAAAAATAGCAAAAAAGTTTCCTGTAAATAATGAACCCCCGGGAGTCAAGGTCAAGGTCACTGGTTATCAAACTTTTTGTGGGGGTTGCGTTCATTGAACGCCGCCTTTCCTTGTTGGTCTTGTTTTTTTTTTTGGTATATGGAAAGCTTATATGAAGATCCTGGTTTGGATTACTCTTGGACACCAAGGGTCAAGGTCAAGTTCACTGTTGCTAAAAAGACAAAAAAAAAATCCGGATGGTGAATAGAATAAAGAATGAGATATTGTAACAAAACTTGGTAAACATATATGAATACACTGGTTGGGATTGCCTTTGGACCTCCTAGGATCAATGTCAATGTCATTGTTACTTTATTGATTTTCAAAAGATAAAAGTTAACAAATGATTATAATCATTTACCAAGGCAATTTATTGTAGTAATCATTGGTTCATCGTTGAAACATCATAAAATATAGGGAGTGTTTTGCATCTGACCACTTATTATTCAAAGAGTTTTTAAGGTAGCAGGTGGGGTTTTGAATCACCTTTAGTGATAGCTCTAGTTTATTATTAATGTAAGGGATTGGCTGACACATCACACTTTTAAGGTCATTTGGTGTTTTTCCAACTTTAGCTTTACTGTTGACAAAAGACATCAGTTGCTCCACCGAGCATTTTTAAGGCAAAAGCGTTCACCTGAACAAAATTACAGATATTCCATAGACCTGCTGGATGGCCTTCTCAACTTAAACAATCAATGAGCTCAAAATTACACTTTAGAATAATCATATTACTAGTGCATGCAAGATTACTGTTTAGTATATATATGATAACTATTTAGTACATGCAAGATTACTGTTTAGTGCATGCAAGATTACTGTTTAGTATATACATGAATACTGTTTAAAATATGCATAATTACTGTTTAGTACATACATGATTACTGTTTAGTACATGCATAATTTATATTGTTTTGAGGGCCTCATGGAAGATTGATATGTTTGTTCAAATGAGTTCTCTCGTTTTATTATAATTATTTTTATTTTTATTATTTTTATTATTATTATTATTATTATTATTATAATCATCATCATCATCATCATCAGCATCATCATTTATTATTAATTATTAATTATTTTTATTTTTATTATTATTATTATTATCATCATCATCTTCATTATAATCATCATCATCATAATCATCATCATTAATAATAATTAATTATTAATACATTTTGTAATTAATTATTATTTTTTAATTATTAATTGTTATTGTTATTGTTATTATTATTATTATTATTATTATTGTTGTTGTTGTTGTTATTGTTTTTATTGTTATGATTGTTGTTATTATTATTATTATAATTATAATTATTATTATTATTATTATTATTATTATTATTATTATTATAACTGTTTAGTTCATGCAAGATCATTATTTAGTACGTGCAAGAATACTGTTTAGAATACGCAAGATTATTGTTTAGTACATGAAATATTATTGTTTAGTACATGCAATATTACTGTTTAGTACATGCAAGATGACCGTTTAGTACGTGCAAGATTACCGTTTAACCCTTTACCTGATATATACGCGAAACAACGCACTTTCGACCCCCCCCCCCCTTTAGGCCTGAAATAGTGAAAAAATGTCCTATTTGGGCCCCAAACACATGTTTTCGTTTGAGAAATGTTGCTAAAAAAAGTGAGCACTTTTTCGGCACCGCCCCCTATCCAAAAGATACATCAGGGGGGTGCCAGAAGGGGGATGTGTCCCCTTCTGTTTGGGGGGGTTTGAAGGGGGCGGAGTCCCCCTCATCACCAAGAAAATTTTGGACTTGTGAGAGGCTTAAAATGACCCAGGTCGATCATAAGGCAACGTGGAACCAACGCTGAAAAGCCTTTGACTCTATCTCAATCCCTTGAAATTTGCAGCACTTTGAAATAAATTTTGATGGAAAAAATCGAGGCAAAATAGTGATTTTTGGCAATTTTGAGATGTCCCCTCGTTGCCATGGTAACAGGACATTTAAGACTGAGCATGTCGTTACAAAGGCAATGGTCCAGTCAACATTTGTGCCAAGTTTGATTAGTATCGAAGCATTTTTCATAGTTTCATAGCAGTTTGAACTTGTAAGAGGAGGCTTTTCAGTGAAAATGGCCATTTTTCACAATATGCTCATGGGGGAAAGGGTTAATACGTGCAGGATTACCGTTTAGTACGTACAAGATTACTGTTTAGTACGTACAAGATTACCATTTAATACGTGCAAGATTACTGTTTAGTACGTGCAAGATTACCGTTTAGTACGTGCAAGATTACTGTTTAGTACGTGCAAGATTACCGTTTAGTACGTGCAAGATTACTGTTTAGTACGTGCAAGATTACCGTTTAGTACGTACAATATTGTTGTTAAGTACGTACAAGATTACCATTTAATACGTGCAAGATTACTGTTTAGTACATGCAAGATGACCGTTTAGTACGTGCAAGATTACTGTTTAGTACGTTCAATATTACCGTTTAGTACGTGCAAGATTACTGTTTAGTACGTACAAGATAACTGTTTAAATACATATCTTTACGCTAAAAATGTTTATGAAAATCTCTTTAACAATTAAATCAATTAGAGAAAGATTTGGTAAGGCTTGTATATTTTAATACGCGCTACCCAGTACTTTGTGTTAAAGAAACTATTTATCAATTAATAGAGCTCACATAATTTAAGTCTATTTTGTTTTTATGATAAAATGATATTTCGTATACACAAATAATTATTATCATTGTAAAACACATTCGGACAGCCTTTTATAACACAATGGTAGCCATAGGTATTTCCCATGTTTTACCTGTGTTTATATCTTCTTTCTTATGATAGTATTATTAGTATTATAAGCAATTATAAATTAACAGTTAATGGTCTACATTTTAAAATCGATTATCATCCTCATTTGAACAGATTTTGATCAAATTCATGTGTCCTGTGTTAAAATACAGTGAATAATTAGCAACTAGTATGTTAGAACGAAACGGTTTGAGTACGAAATCAAATTGACGTCTATGACGTCAGATATCTATGATGTCAGTGACGTTAGCGCCATTCATTAGAAACGACGTTTATGCCAAAGGCAACAGTATATTCTAGATCACATTAAATCATAAAAACTGTTTAATGGATGAAGAATTAAATTAAGAGATGTTAAAACGCGACATTCTTGGGCATTATCCCGTCTTTGTCCCCTAGGGGATGTCTTAATTATTTTCGTTATATATCACTATAACAGTAATGTAATAACAACTGATCGTTCTCAAGCAGACGCATGCATGAAAAATATACTTACAAATGCTGAACTTCGTGTATTTTCGGTTAAATCCGTGTCCGTTAAATCCGTGTTTCCTCGTTACATTCCGTAATGTATCAAAATTGTTTAAATATAATATTTATACTGAATGAATGTTATTATTTACACTACACTACATATATACACTGTACATATATTAGTTGATGCTTTATATATATATTTAGGCAAAATCTGAATCGGAGACGACCAGGAAAATGCCTCTTTTACATATGGATTTTCCAAATTTTTTTTTGTCTGCTTGTCTTTTTTCCTAATGTAACATATCCTGATGGATGGCACACACTATCAACTTTCATTGTATGTTTTTTTTTATTTTTCTCTGTGTTCTTCAATTTCAGACGTATAGGATCAACTTTCTTCCGTAACGTTACAACATCTCTATGCTCTGTTATAGTTCTATTCACTTCACTATCACTAGATTCAGTTTCTTTTTCTACATCTACTTCTCTTGAAGTTGACTGTTTTGAAGTACAAGTACCTTGTTTTTCACTTGTGACATATGCAGCGGCTGCACTGCTTGCACTGTCAGAAGAAATGGATATAACATCCACTTCAGATAAGTTCGATCCTGAATCAGTGTCAGTATCGTTATCTGTTAATGTATGTATAACTTCCCATTCCCGGAAGGTTGCATCGTCACATTCAATGTTCAAGTCCCATGAGTCAAAGAGAGTAGTTGGTTAAGAATACTTTGGGGGCTTTTTCAAACTGTAAATGTCACGTAATAAATAAAAAAAAGGCTCAAAATATCTCCCTTTCACCTCTGATCTCCAAATTACTTCTGCCAGGTGACCTTCAAATTGACTTATTTGGGTTTCCTGCAATACTTTTGAAGTGATCCTTGGCATGTTTCCATGCTCCCTCTATTCTATTAATATGTACCTGAATTACCTCCCCTGTATCAAGATTTCTATAAGAACTTTTGAATGTGAACTTTTGAATGACGGAGAAGTGATTATATCCCAACTCATTTAAAGGGCAGTAAGCGCTCCATTGTCGAACCTTTTTCTACGTGACGTTCAATGAGGGGTAACAAAGTTTTCTGAGATCTTTCTCTTACAGGATATAATATAATTGAATTTGATTCTCTTTCTACCATTCCAAATACCCATATCTTACAACCTTTTCTGGGATTTCCTCTATGATGTTTAATTCTTCTACCAAATAGTGATTCGTCAATTTCTATTACTCCCTTCAATTTACGAGTAAGTACATGTGTATGAAAGTGTTCTTTAAACAGTTCTCGGATAAAACTACCCCAGTCCACCCCTGTACTTTGATAGTGAATGCCTGATTGCCTACTACATTGATATAGCGTATTTGCTTCTAGATAAGTTTTAATGAACACCATTATATCTTGTATGGTTAATTTTGATTTCTCAAAGAAGCTGTACTTCCTACTTGCACATTCATGATTACGATTTCTGTTACATCTTAAAGTAAATCCAGTACTTCTCCCCGACATCTTACAAAATTTCATTATGCCGTGACATTTAGAACTGGATTCTTGGTTTGATACTTTACTAATACATGGTATTTCATTTGGCAGAAGTCCATTTCTTATACACCATTTCACCACAAAAGAGTCTTCTTGCATAAAAAGATGGTAAAAATTCCAAGGATTATAGAAATCTGATACAGTAATATCATCTACATCTATTTTTCTTCTTCTAAATCCACCACCAATACGAAAACTAACTTTCTCTTGTAATTCCTCTATAGAACCACCTTCGGCCATTTTATAACATATAATACTGACTACCTATAATACTATGCAGATATTTCAGTTCGGCAAAATAATATTAATTCAATATTCACTCAAGCAACAAATACCTTTTTCTGGACATAATTTCATTCAATATATTATTACTCTTCAAGTCACAAATATTATAGCAAATGAGGAACAAAATGGGGAACGGAATGAATAAATTTTTATAAATAAAATTCATTCAATAAAAAGTGAACACTTGTAACTTTCGATATACATTTAATAACATCATATGTTACATATTCAACTTCATATATCACATAATTTAACAATTCCATTCATTCCGTCAATACATTTTTTATTTATGTATAATATATGTATAAAACAAAAACATTTCAAATTGCCTTTTTATGCACTATATAAAACCTATGAAAACCATCTTCAGGTAAATTCTTACTTTTAAAACACATTAATAAGAAAGTTATAAATAATACAGTTTGTTTGTAATGAAGTTAAATTACAATGCAATGAACAGATATCTTTATTTTAATAACGACTTTCATTCCGTATCCCCCCAAGAAAACCCTCTTCCCGGGAAATCTTCCCTTTCTAAGGCATCTATAAAACAGTAATATATAATACACTCTCTCTATATATACTACCGTCTTTGTCCCCTCAAAGTTTCCCCTATTTATATACACACATAAACATATATAATTATATATATCGTATTTTATGAATAAAACTCATTCAGTAAATACATCACTTTAAGACACTTTCCCCCAAAAGATTGCCAAGCCCCATTTTCTCATTGCATAGTATCCCCCAAGAAAACCCTCTTCCCGGGAAATCTTCCCTTTCTAAGGCATCTATGAAACAGTAATATATAATACAGTCTCTCTATATATACTACCGTCTTTGTCCCCTCAAAGTTTCCCCTATTTATATACACACATATACATATATAATTATAGTCATCGTATCTTATGAACAAGGTTAGCTTTTAAAAAAGCTAGTAGCGACTCGCTTCGTGATTTTTTTCGAGGGGTGTGTTTAAATGTAAAATGACAGTTCTGTTAGCTGAAGAGACTTCAGCGAACATCAAAATAAAAGTGACATATATATAGTTATGGAAGCCAGTTCTCTTAGTTTAACAAAGAGGAATATGAGTATATTTGAAGATGCATGTAAACAGATAGAATGAAGTACCTATGTCAATGCACATTTACTTTATGGCCTGTTGACCTTGACCAAAAAATGTTAGATAGGTAGACTACATTCATAAAGATGTCTCTTTATACGAAGTTAAGTTGTAATATGTTATTTAGTATTGGAATGAGTGACAGACACAAGTCCTACACAGGAATATATTACTGAAGAACTCTCTTGGGTGTGGGCAAATTTAGATTCATGGGGCATTACTAACATTTGATTTGTACAAGTTCTTAAGGCATTAGTACATATTCAATATTAAAGCTTGAGGCATTTGAGTTTATATCAATAAGACTTAAACATATTTTCCCTTAACATATTGATAAAAATTATGTCAAGTCCATCTTATGTGATACATTTTAAACAAATGGATATGATGTAGATACATGAACAAAATTTTAAAGTGGTCAACAAGACAATACCACATGCCAAATATTTAAGGTTTAGGCATTAAAAGGTATAAAGGTGTGCGTGTGTGTTTCTATATAAGACGTGTCCTTGACCTATGTGTAGAACTATATGAACAACTATGAAAGAGGACTCCTGATGGTATTAGATATATAGCGATCCGGGAATTAACCACTGCCATGTCATATTCAGAAAAGCCGGGATCGTATTAACCCATTACGCGATAAACACGTCTTTTAACGCCTTTTTCACCCCCCCCCCTTTTTTTGTTGTCTCACATGGTGAAAATGCCTTATTTAGGCCCCCAACACTTGTTTTTGGTTGAGAAATGTTGTTTAAAAAAGTGACCACTTTTTCGGCGCGGCCCCTAACCGAAAGATACATCAGGGGGTTGCCAGAAGGAGGATCGATCATAAGGTAACGTGTAACCAACGCTGAAAAGCATTTGACTCTATCTCAATCCATTAACAAGTTGCAGCACTTTGAAATCAATTTTGATGGAAAAATCTTTTTTGTTATCAATTATATTAAGTACATGTATATCTTATGATCTTTTTCTAAAAATAACATTTAAATACATGAACATAAAATTTAGCCAAATATTATATTAACAAAAATATAGATTTTTTTTTCGATTAGGCTGTGTGGTGCGGGTTTTAAGGTGGTACTGGAGGGGGTGGTTCATTTCGGTGTCCATGATATTTCCGGTGGTACTGGAGGGGGATAGGTAGGTTTGGTTTCCGGTGTTCATGCTATTCTTTAACAAACAATTCTGTGTTATAATTTTCTGTGTCGCACTTTTCCGTAGTAATAAAATTTCGTTAACGTGTAATAGTTACTCATCTTTTGTATTTATTTAAAAATCCTTTTTGCATCATAAACACACAACTCAGTAAGTCCGTTTTTTCTGTTTTTAATATAGTTTCCTTTTTTTTTCATATTTACATCAACAGTTCTGACCGGTCAAAATAACAAATATATATGTACATTAAATTGCACCGCAGAAAACTGCGGCACCAACACTTTAAACTTAAACCATTACATGTTTACTGTATAACTGTCTGAATCCCTCTATATCAAAAAGTTCTTCTCATTTATTAATACAAAAATAATTGTAACAAAGGTTTCAATAATTAACCAATGAAAAAATGACCCTTAAACAGGAAAATATTAACCAATGAAAATACATTTTATCAAATATGGAATTATAGATTTGACCAATAAAAATGGTTCGATTAAGACTGATTAACACGCCAGATGTCAAAAGTCAGCGGCCTGTTAATTCCTTTCTTTAAGTCAAACAGATAATCAGATAAGAAAACTTCAAATAAATGTCGTAGATAAAATTAATGATAATAATCACGTTGTCATACATGTGACGTAAATAAACATAAATGTGTCAGACACGTAAATTGCAATCAACATGTCAGGGATCTGGCTAATTGATAATTTACATATTTCTGAATTTCAATAATTTAAAAACTTTTTAAAACATAAACAAGAAAATATAATAATTTTACGAAAAGTATTTTGAAAGAATCAAATGGAAAAAATACAGCATAACAACCATATTATTAAAAGTATTGATATTTCTGCATTTTAAGTTTGTTAATAAATAGCTCTAAATATATTTAACTCTTAAGTTAAATTAATTTACCATTCATTACATACAATAAAAAATAAAAAGTTATCGTTTAATCGCCTTTCATTACGACAATAATAAACACAAATATAGTTTATTCCTTTTCCCTATATATATAATACTATCCCGGATCCCGGGCGTTCCGGATCCCGGGATTTTCCCCCTACCCTAAATACCGGAAAGGATAAAATGACCGGAAAAAAAGAAAAAGAAAAAAATGCACAGAACCAGATGTACACTTATGTTAATTAACCAAATGAAAACTTACTACAGAGAAAACAGGTGAAATCGCTCAATCAAAAGTCAGTGTAAATATGATTTATTCAAAAGAATTCATGAAAACAAACATTTTAATCATCACTATATATTTGCGCTCAAAGCAATACTTGCTGCTTTTTAAAAATGGCGTGAAAATTGAAGGTTTTTTGACGCTATGTAAGATTAAATTTGATTGGCTAAATAATTTTGGATTCCAGCCCTGACAGATAAATTTTGTAGAAAGCTGGAAGCCAAGCATTGATTAAATTTTTGGATTGATTCGGAGTTTTAGGTTGTTTCTCAGTAAAATCCTAATGTTATACCGGCTCGCCGTGGCGAGCCGGCATAACATTCATTCAGTATATATACATCACTTTAAGACACTTTCACCCAAAAGATTGCCAAGCCCCATTTTTTCATTGCATACCATCCCCCCAAAAAAACCCTCTTCCCGGGAATTCTTCCCTTTCTTAGGCATCTATAAAACAGTAATACAGTATATTGTCTATATATATACTACTTTACGATTTCTTCCGAAAAAAATCGGATATTTCCGTACTTAACAAGTCACGTGATTATGCAAGCGTCTAATATGGTTCATGCGTATTTCGTATGATAATTTTATGTGAAGAGGCAAAATCCCCTTGGGGACAAAGACGGGATAATGCCCATTCTTGTAATCTAGGAACATGGACAGAGGCGGTAAAAAAGGTAAATAAACAGAACATATTTGTTTGTTTGAGTTGATATGGAATATTTCTCACCCACTAATTTATGAGAATTAAATATTTAAGATGCGCGAAACTTTGCGTTTCAATGTATGGAACTTGGAAATGAGATCGTGTGTTTCATCAATATATCTCTGTATATTATGGAAGCCCTGGAGGGACATTTTAGATTAATATTTAAAACTTAAAACTTATTATTTAATTCCTAATATTTAAAATTTAATTCTTAATATTTAAAAATTAAGATCAGAATACATAAGACGTGGGTATTTGAATTCAACGGTCTCTTGCAAAAGGTTGTTACACGAAGAAAAACTGGCAAATTCGATGTAGCTGCTTACGGGTAATTGCCATTTTTTATATATATGAACTATTATATCTCGATTGTTATTTTTTTCATGCTAACGGTTGAAACGATTAAGATTTATTAGTATTATCTAAGACATTACATTTTATTGATTACATGGTGTCAAAAGCAGCGGTTGAGAAAGTCAATACATTTTGTTCTGGATAAAGCGTTAAAACTGATAAAAATATACCTGCTATTCAGGGGGTTAAGTTGTTAAGTTGTTGGTGGTGAATAACAATATTACATTTTTACAGCCCCAGCCCTTTGTTTTTATAACGCTATATTTCATTTATTTCTATTTCCTTTAAGGTGGTAAACATGGAGATCCATGTGTCATCCCTATTGCCATCTGGAAACGGAAGCACCAGGTTAGAAGTTATTACGCAGTACTTTCATGCTGACTTCAAGTACACAGAAATTGTTTTACTTCTCCTTTGTCGGCACAACATACGCTTTGGTCTTCTTCAGTTAAAGAGGATACTTCGTTATTAAGGGCATCACCGTGACATGTTTACTCTTCAAGAAATCGTACGAAAGAATTGCAGTTTAAAGGAGACGGCTTATGGTACCAAGGTGGATGAATACGTTGATGGATTTGAGAGCGCGTGGACGATTTGATACGTCATACCCAATTCATACAGATTGCTTGCGATTTTATGTAACGGATGTTCTTCAAGCGGGACTTTATCGCTTTGTATTCACTAGAATTTACACAATGTGCGACCATAGAAACATGTAGACACTTGTACTGGAAGACCAGAAATTAAATGTAATGTTGTTTAATGTACTAGAACTATCAGGTTCTACTTGTTATGGTGTAAATGTTGATTTGTAGGATATTGAATATGAAACAAATCAAGATGAATGAACATTAGATAATATATATATATATACTTTTTAATTAATAAACATTGATGTTCACGGTTTTCCAAAGTTTATACTTTTTATATTTAACTGCTATATAGTTAAAATTTCTGGGCCGATCTCGAGTTCGCGTTACTTATTGTTAACGTTAGAACAGGTCATAAATCAAACGGAAAAAAATAATAAATGGACTTAAAGACGAGACCTCTCGTGAAACATTCTGATTCTACATTGATGATTGCATGACAAATCTGACTTGGAGTAAACATTACTAGAAATCTAAGTAAACCGTATGTAGGAAATTAGAAGATAAACATTATGAGCTCTTTGTAGGCAGTACTAAATATTTGCCAAATGTTCTCCAGGAGGTGTCAAATTTTAGGACTTTTAAACCACAAAATAACAAGTTTCAAATTTGACCTACATATATGACCTATGATAAAGTTGTTCCAACTGAAAAAAGACCTGTTGTGTTCAAAATGTTTTTCTTTGATTTGACCTTTTTTTAACCCCATATGACTCAGATTCAAACTCGACTTAAAAATTATCCAGACAAATATTCTCATGAACTTTTAAGTTGTTCATGTTGAAAATACAACATCTAAAGTGTTCCCTATGTTTTTCTTTGATTTAAACTAGTGACCTAGTTTATGACCCCAGATAACCCAGATTAAAATTGACCTAGAAAATAAATTAGATAAATATTCTGAACAATTTTGATGGCGATGGGACACAAAATGTGACCTGTATTTAGTTCACAACGGAAATGTTGAGAAACACACCGACACACGACAAACAGCGGGCAATGACACTAGCTCACCTTTGAGCTGAGCTAAAAAGGAATCAAGATATATCAGATTTTGTCTTTATTGAATTAAACACATAGCTCTATTAATTTCTGAACAGTTTTCAATGCATCTAAAATTTTGTTTTAAAATAAACTGGCAAACAAACTTTTGTATAACTGTTTATTTTGCGTTTATTGTAAAAAAATCTTAACTCGTGTTAGCTAAAACGGCTGAAATTAACACAATGACAAGAAACCCCATCATTTTCGACATTTTTTAAAAACAGTTGGTTACAAAAAATTGATATCTGGTTATAGGTCGGGCGATAGAATTAGCACAGTACTTTGACATTCTTTGTACATCCCTTATGTTACTGTTATGTTGCCCAAAGTTAATGCCAAATTAACTTTGTTTCCAAATGTCAAATAAAAAATGTCCCTTATTTTCCCCTGGTAATTTTAAGGGCATTTTTCACTGATTTTACCCAGTGCATGTCGCAGGCAAACCAATTTTCTATGCACTGCTATTAAAGCAAAATGGCACCAAGAAAAAGATTAGATGGGTAATATTGTTTCCCTTACTGATGGCGTTTAGAGAGGCCATAGTTGTTTTTGTATTACAGTCCACCTTGAAAAATTTTAAGGCCAGCAAAGACAGTCTGTGTTAACAACTTTTACTCTTTAAATACAGTGACTAAACAAAGTACAAAATCAAAGGTATCTACAATCGCTTCAGGTTCAACTTCCAATTGATAACAATCTGGGGTAACTACCTTCAGCATACAACATAAAAATAAAAGGGTATTCATAACACGATTTATGTTTTCAGGTAAAGTTAAAAACATAGCAAGTTTTGCCATGTTAGTAAGACTTGAAGGCCCAACTAGGCAAACTCAACAAAATGATTATTTTTCAACTAAATAGAACAAGAAATGTCACTGAAAATAAATATATGCCACAAATGTGCTTTGAGCATTTGGCAGGAACAAAAAACTAACATTTTACATTGATAAAAGTGTTTAAGAAGCAAACATTATTATAATAATCAAAATCACATCATAATCTATAATTGTCAATTAGTTTGTATGCTTATAATTATCACAGGGCTACAGCATATGTGTCAGTTGCATACAATTTCACATGAAAACAGAACAACAATTGATACCACTACAAAATAAATTTCCGTTTATCAACCATTTTTAAATGAATGTAATTATGATTGTGAACAATTGTGATTTACCAAGAACCAACAATTACTATTATCAACCTAAAAACCAAATATTTGATTTAGCACATTCGAATGTTGCTGCGATGAAGCTTCTGGACAAATATAAACGTTTCCATCTCTTTCTAGAAAGACTGTGTTCTGTACTTCTATTCTAGAAACCACATACCCATCTTTCTTCAAACGGATCATATTCATGAATTATCTATTTCTGGACTCCCAGACGCATTAAAGCACCGCGATATTGATTGGCAAATACTTCAGATTGTTCTTCAGAATATAATGAGTGCCTAATTTTGCTGTAGTTTATGTTAATAGTTCTGTCGCCCTCTTCTACATGGACTCCATTATCTCAGGTATATGTGGTACTGTGACGCAAACAAACTGTAAGCTTTTAAATACTCTGTGAAACTACATAGATATTGCTCTACATCAGTATAACTGTCAATCACTTTTCCTGCTTAAGCCAATGAGAAGTCCTCCACACAGTCAATGTTACTTTCTCCATCTGGGAAATAGTAACTCAGCGCTTGAATTCTTATTCTTTCTTCTGCCAGACTTCCCAATATGTGTAATATATTATGCTTATCCACCTTTTGCTTTAGTACCAACGCTGTACTTTCCATCTCGGTAGTTCTGCCATCCCATTTTCATTTTATATGCACTGCTTTGTCCTCTGACTTTCTTCACAGCAGTTGCCTAAAATATATTAGAGGTTTTATTAAGAACTAATTTCATACAATTTTGGTCTTAGAGGGACATACCTTATAACTGATGTCAAACTAAAAAACCTCCAAAATATAAATAATAGAATCTTAAAATATTATAACTTGAATTAAAAGTTTCAACTATACATTCCCAATCATTAACGATAAAATTAGCTGTTAAAATATTTTGCAGTACTGTAAGCGAGTTGTTGCTGTACAATTAATGGGTTGATGCAATTTATTTCAGAAAGCCTCTCAATTGATAAATTGTGGTTAAATGAGGTTTCTTTCAGCTTAGATACTTCTTTGACATTGTATTTATTTATCATTTTACTTTCATTTAGCAAAAACTTTATGTTTCCAGAATATAATCTGCTAGATGTAGGGAGTGCCCCTTTATCTACATCTAAAGTTTTGTGACAAGGTTTTTGCAATTAAAAGCACACTACTACAGCCTATAAGACTGGTGATGTAAATTTCCAATGCAAATCAATGATCATACCAGTAGGATGATGGTGGCCCTAAACAATCGTCTTAAAACCAAGGCTTTTTATTTAAAATTTACAGTACCTAAATCCCCAAGGGTAGCATGTCCAGTCTGCTTGATTGTTATGCTTATTTTATAGCAGACGTTGTGAACTGCATCAAAAATGGATAAGTAAGTATAAAAAAGACCGCTAAATGTGACCTTGACCTTTGAGCATGGTTTTTACGTGCGACACACCTTGTCATGGCGGTGAACAATTGTACCAAGTAAATTTATATTACTCTCAGCCCAATTCTGACCTTTAACCCCTACAATCTGGGACGGATTGTCTTTTGAAAAAATAAATAAATAAATAAACCCACCCAAGCCAGTCCTCACCATGAAATTAAGTCCGTGTGCGTGTCCTATTGTGATTCAAAACGATTTTTCTTGTATATTAAGACCAAATCACTTTACTTCCTTCGCTACTCGTATTCTCGCTGGCGCTACTTGTGGCGTCAATCTGTTAACGGAATGGTTTCCCGCGTCCATTTTAATGATAAGATTTAAGTATCAAATATTAAAAATTAAATTTTAAATACTAAGAATTAAATTTTAAATAATAATTTTTAAGTTTTAAATATTAATTTAAAATGTCCCTCCAGGGCTTCCATAGTATATCACCGGAAAGCAAAGCTTTCAATACTGTACTTTTTATTTAAGAAAGAGTATGTTTTTTGCTTGATATATAACAGAATAAATAGTATGCCTTTTGTATTGTGTTTTATGCCAAAAAAAGTTATTTTCATTAGAAATATGGGTTTAAACTGTTAAAAATTCATCATGAATTAATATGAAAATTGATTTTTATTGCTTCAAAGGCAGGGTTCGGTGAGTAAAATAAACAAGTTCAAGGGTGTACTGTACGAGTGATATTTTTCTTCACTAGATACAACTAACTTGGATTTATTACGTACATGAAATTAACATATTTATACTTACTAGTTTGATTCTTTGCGAACACTGATCGTCAAATTATACTTCAAGGGATAAAAGCCCATTTTTAAATGCTAAACATTTGTTACTTTACTTTCAGAATTACCGGCCCTATACGTCAATGATGAAGATGATTCGATGTTCGGAATTCTCAGTGTTTACCGTCGATCAACATTACATACTAGGTAAAGGGAAAATATCTATCGTTTTGATGCCGATATTAATAATTCTGTATTGTATTATAATTTTTTTTCTTTTTGTTTGAGTTTTATTAATTGTTCATAGATACAGAAACATGTATAATCTGTAATGTTTTTGATATAAAAGTTATGTAATTTTATACATTTAAGCCACGAGACAGAGTTGGATAACAAGACAGTTTTAAAGGAGAAATCTTCTCAAATACAAGCAAAGGTATGTACCTTTAATGCTTTGATTAACAGTTTCAAGCATCATTGTACATAGATTTATGTCGTTTTGTTTTGGCCATATTCTATAAATATTTACTTATAAATGTCCAAAAAAGGCATATTTATGCCGATTGTTGAATAACGATTGATTGTTTGATTAATTGATTTCATTGATTGATTGACAAAGTGACTAATTGATTTATTGGTTTGATCGATTGATTTAAACCTTTTGTTTATTTTTTAATCCAAGTAAATGTATTATATTAATGAATCATGTTTATGTGTTTGAAAACTCAATAGAGACTCTGGTTGTTAAAACTATTCACTGTTTGTTATATGAGCCGCGTCACGACAAAACCAACATAATGGGTTTGCGACCAGCATGGATCGAGACCAGCCTGCGCATCCGCGCAGTCTGATCAGGATCCATGCTGTTCGCTATCAGTTTCTTTACTTGTTGTAGGGTTTGTAAGCGAACAGCATGGATCCTGATCAGACTGCGCGGATGCGCAGCCTGGTCTGGATCCATGCTGGTCGCAAACGCATTACGTTGGTTTTGTCATGGCGCGGCTCATATGTAAATGTATATATTCAGAAATATGTTATATGAACTTATATCCCCATTAGTTTTAATCCTATTACTAGTACAATTGAATAAAGGAAGTATGAAAGAATTATAAAATATTCCAGGTTACATAGTAATCAAAAAATAATTATATAGTTAGTAAATCATACTTAAAATCTCTTGGTCGATTTCGTTTCTTAATTATCAAGGTTGTTGCGAAATAAGTGTATATTTATTAATTTTGTTTTCTATTGATTTTTATTCAATTTCAATTTATTTCTAATTAAAATGTATCATTAACTTAATATGGCACAAGTAGGCGAATTCATTTTCATAGAAACTCTTAAAAGGCCCTTATAATGAATTATCCAGATTTGAATACTGTTTTGCATATGTCTACATTTTTATATATAGTTTTAAGTAAATATTTTAGAAACATATTATTCAATATTGTTTTAGAAAAAAAACTTCACCTATCGTTTTATTTTAGGATGTGTCGACACCGGCTTCTAAGAAATTAAAGTCACGTGATCAGCCAAGAGCTGTCGACATGTTATATCACAAAATGTTAAGTAAGTAATCGATTCAATTTCGTTCAATGTAGATAAAAAAAAGGTGGAAAAAATGGAAAAAATAAAGATTGAAAGAGTTAATATATAAAATATTTTGTTGCAGTATGTGTCATTATGTATTTATCTTTTATATTCAAGCTGCGAATTGTTCATTCTTGAATGCTTTAATCGTCGCATATTTTTACTTCAGGAGCAAACAAAATCCGTGATTACAATGAAGAATATTTTGATGTAGCTTAAATAAATATTTTCTTTGTTTACTCATATTTTTGTTCTATGATTTATTATTTTTCTTGTTAGGAAATTTGTCAAATGGTGATGACCCCAAACAAAGATATTCTCCAATAAAGCTTATTGACTCCGGGTTAGTATTTAAGTATTTTTATTATAACATGTATGCCTGACACGACTTTTTTCTCTCAGTTTCTGCTATATAAGAGTATATAAAGGACGTACATTTCGTATGTTTCTGTGATGTATAAATGTCAAGAAGGTATAGTTCGTCTGTTGGGTGAAATATCAATGTCAAGGACATGTAGCTTGTTTGTTCTGATGCTGTGTGAATTCAAAGGACTTATTGTTCGTCTGTTTGGTAAAATGTCAATGTCAAAGACATATATTTTATCTGTTGTGGTGATGTATAAAGGTCAAGGACGTATAGTACGTCTGTTGGGTGATGTTCTAATGTAAGAGACACATTCTGTTGGATGAAATATCAATGTCAAGGACGTATAGTTTGTTTGTTGTGGATATGTATCAATGTCAAGGACATATAGTTCGTCTGTTTGGTGATATACAAATGTCAAGGATATATAGTTCGTCTGTTGGGTGATATACAAATGTCAAGGATATATAGTTCGTCTGTTGGGTGATATTCAAATGTCAAGGATATAAAGTTCGTCTGTTGGGTGATATACAAATGTTAAGGACATATAGTTCGTCTGTTGGGTGATATACAAATGTCAAGGATATATAGTTCGTCTGTTGGGTGATATTCCAATGTCAAGGATATATAGTTCGTCTGTTGGGTGATATACAAATGTCAAGGACATATAGTTCATCTGTTGTGAAGATGTGTCAATTCCAATGACGTATAGTTCGTCTGTTCGTTTAATTAATATACCAATGTTAAGGACATATAGTTCGTCTGTTGGGTGATATACAAATGTCAAGGATATATAGTTCGTCTGTTGGGTGATATACAAATGTCAAGGACATATAGTTCGTCTGTTGGGTGATATACAAATGTCAAGGACATATAGTTCGTCTGTTGGGTGATATACAAATGTCAAGGATATATAGTTCGTCTTTTGGGTGATGTTCAAATGTCAAGGATATATAGTTCGTCTGTTGGGTGATATTCAAATGTCAAGGATATATAGTTCGTCTGTTGGGTGATATACAAATGTCAAGGATATATAGTTCGTCTGTTGGGTGATATTCAAATGTCAAGGATATATAGTTCGTCTGTTGGGTGATATACAAATGTCAAGGACATATAGTTCGTCTGTTGTGAAGATGTGTCAATTCCAATGACGTATAGTTCGTCTGTTCGTTTAATTAATATACCAATGTCAAGGATATATAGTTTGTCTGTTGGGTGATATACAAATGTGAAGGATATATAGTTCGTCTGTTGGGTGATATACAAATGTCAAGGACATATAGTTCGTCTGTTGGGTGATATACAAATGTCAAGTACATATAGTTCGTCTGTTGTGAAGATGTGTCAATTCCAATGACGTATAGTTCGTCTGTTCGTTAAATTTATATATCAATGTCAAGGATATATAATTCGTCTGTTGGTATTATTTCAATGTCAAGAGGACGAACAAAATTTGTCTGATGTGAGATTTAAACATCAAGAATAGTTCATAGAGAATTTGATCACATCCTTTTCATAAGGGTTTGTGGCTTTCACAATTAACTAACGCTCTTATTTTACACCTTTTTTGATTTGCTATTTATAAATTCACTTATATTAAAAATGCACCAAATTAATATTTCTAGTGAACTCATTTCACTTTTGCTATATTTTCAGAACTTTCGGTCACGTGGTCTTAGCCAAAGCGAAGCTAAACGGGTCTATGGTTGCCATAAAAATCATGGAAGTTAAAAAACAACCATTTGCAGTGTTGGCTAACGAGGTCAACATAATGAAGAGGATTTACCATGAAAATGTTGTCACCGCACTAGATGCAATTTATGTGGAAGCTGTAAAGAAATTCTGGCTTATCACGGAGTACGTGAATGGGTGTTCACTGAGGAAGATATTAAGAAATGTATCGTTAGAAGAAGGACTGTCACAGATATGTTACATATGTAGTCAATGTGTGAAAGGTTTGGACTATCTCCATAAAGAAAAACATAGTTCATAGAGATATCAAAAGCAACAATGTGGTGGTGGATGTACATGGGAGAATAAAGATAACAGATTTTGGAACCAGCTACATATATGATAAGAATGACAAGAAGAACGAAATAGTTGGCTCACCGTGCTATATGGCACCGGAAGTTGTAGCCAGGTTAGTAAATATATTGCAGACATATTCTTTATATATAGATAAGCTTTTCCTGTTCCATTTCACTATAATCTGGCTTGACTTGTATTTACAAAACATTTAACACATTGTTCAATTATTATTTATGGTAAATATCTCGTTTCCACGCCTTAAAAAAGTGAAAATACTTATAGATATGTAAATTGAATTATGATATCCAAAATGATGAAAATAATATAGATCTATAATAAAAAAAGAAAGAAAAAACAACAACAACAAAAAAAGAAAGAAAATAGTATCGAATTAAAACCCTTTTTATAACTTGTATTTCCCAACAAGCATAGTAAAGTATGTGTTTAAATATGATCATGCAGACGTATTGACAAAAAGATATTCTCTCAACTTAAATATTTAGTTTATTCGGATCACCTCTGGTGACTTCAATAAGTCTTTCTTACGGAGTTGTCGGGTGAAGCCGAGTTGTTGCAATTGTGGGATAAAAGTTGCCAAACAACATTTTTCTATATTTGTTACTTAACCACTTTTATTTATTTTAAAAACCGAGATTAAAAATAAATATGGCCTATGATTTAAATAATAGAAATGATTTACGGAAACCACCTATATATACCTGAGGAAGGGAACACTCTTATGAAAACCTTATAAAAGAAATGGTAGGACTATATAAAGGAATTATACAAATTAAAACAGTGGATTAAATCTTTTCATTACACGTGTCTCATTTTTTAATGCACCCCACAGAGAACAGCACTATCTATTGATCACAGTTTTTAGTGTGACCCCAAAACTTGTAACTGCAAAATTACTCAAAAAAATGCATGTTATCATATTAACTTTTTTATAAAATTTATTTTATAAAAAATTTTTTTTGTTTATTTTATAGCAAAAAAAAAATTTGTCTTTGATTTTCAAAAAATTTACATTTTTAAGGGCTGTCCATTAAAAAGCTTGAAATAGACTTTGCTTCATTCATCTGTTCGTTTGTTCAGAAGTTATTTTAACCCCTTTGCTTTTTCGGACATCAATAAGCATCCTAGAAATTTGACCAGTCATTCCCTTACAAATTAAGTCCTATTCTATTAATGACAACGATATAAACAGAAAGGTGTAAAATATATAAGAATTTAGAGGAAGGAAACAGCCTTTAAATACATCTGGGAGCCGTTTTATCAACGTGTAGTCTACGACATTTTATTATCGGTGTCGTACGTCTGCGATAACGTCGTACGACCGTTTTATGAAACGCGTCTCAGGCATTGTGTTTCTGCGACGTCGCAGCCTTTGTCGTAAACAATAATTCACGCAAGACACAGTCTAGTGAGTGCGCGCTTTGACATCACATATGAAATCAAACAATGAGAACAAAGGAGGCAATCACTTTTAGACCAATAAGAACATCTTTAACTAAGCAGGTGTTCGGGTGAAATATACTAGAAAATTATTAAATTCTATCTTTTCCACACTAAAACAAACTTGTTTTTTAATATTCTGACACTCCTTTGTGTATGTATCTGATCAAATCAGGCCTTTAAATGACTAGCCACATTGAATTGGGAAAATGCGTTCCTGACATTGCTTTAACAAGACTTTCTCTCTATCATTTTAATCATGGAATATTATAATAGTTGACCTGTTATAAGAGACGGTGCTTTTATAAAACGTCTCGGCCCTTTTAACCTTAGGTAATTTAAATATGCTGTTCAACTTTTTTTAAATACACGTCATTTTAACTTAGTATGGGAGCAATCCCATCTTATTCCTATCATGGGTTACGTACTTTTATACGAACTTGTTGGTAGGAATTATGGCACACACGTAAACACATGTACCGATAAAACTGTAGACAAAATAAATTAGTTCCCATATAAATTAAGCAAGTTTTAAATGAAGTATGTGCTCGCCCATATGGTTCATTCCGGTGGCGAGGGTAAACAAACCAAACACACACACAAAATATGAAATCAAAGTACTAAAAGTACTGATGGAATTTACATATTATTATCAAACGGGCAAATTTACATGACTATTATAAAACGGATAAATACCTTTAGTGTCATTCAAAGAACAGTTTTAGTGAGAAAAATAGCTAATATTTTCTGCACTCGATTCACCCCTTAAAATACTATGTCACGCTACGGTTCCACACTTAATGCCTGGTCTGTACTGAATGCTAAAGGCACATTATGTCTCAGAAGCGAGTTTTTTTCCAGAGCAAACACGGGTATAATAACGTTCAAATAACGATTTTAGAGCATGCAGCTGTTGTAATTTTAACAATTTATTTTTTCAGTATGCGGCATTAATACCTCGGGTATCTACAAATGCACTAACGAAGACACAGACACTTGGAGTTTGGAGCACAAAACGCCTTTTAAAATCCAAACAAAATGTATATTTGTCATTCCAGCACATGTACTTATTATATGTATCATTAAAACTTAATATAAGCTGTTAAAAGTAATATTTCAACGTCTATAATAATACACATTGTATTGATATATACATGTGCTGGGATTGACAAATATACATTTCATTTGGATTTTAAAGGCGTTTTTGAGCTCCACACTCCAAATGTCTGTGAAAGAAAGACGTCAGCGTCCTAAGCTCCTTTCTTGTATGTGTCGGAATTTATTTCCAAAATGGGAATTTTATTCAATGACAGGGATATTGTTTCACTTTCGTTGTGATTGATCATGAAAATCCTTTCTACGACCATTTGCACTCTACCTCTGCTCTGGCATGTACACAAGGTAACATCAGTTTTTTGCGAAAGCAAAGACAACTAGTACTGGTAAACTGCTTGACAGCCTACCCAGGAACGATGCGGTGGCTGAACTGTGCTCTGGTGAATTCTAAGAGACCTACTCCCGTGAATTGTGTGGTAAACTACAAAGTCCACCGCAACCAGCATAATGATTGTTAGCTAGAAACCAGCCAGCAAATCTATTGATTTGCCAAGCAATTAAAGAAATTTGTTATATGAATTTATAACTGCATTTTTTTCACTAAGTAGATAAAATTTTGGCATTATAATAATTCACTTAATCAAAACACAACCCAAAATCACATAAATACAAGTCATTAATCTACTAAAGAAAGTACATGAATGTATGGTGGTGGTGTTGGTAGTATTCACACCGGACCACGACAGTAAGCCACATTAAATTTACCAGCACAGTTCAGCCACCGCATCGTTCCTGTGCATGCTGTCAAACAGTTTACCAGTACTTGTTGCTTTTGCAAGGAAGTGATAATTTTTACACATGCCAGAGCAGAGTCACAGTGCGAATGACCGTTGAAAGGATTTTATGATCAATCACAACGAAAGTGACCTGCGCCGTCAAGGAATCGAACCCTGGTCGCCAGATTCACAGTTCAACGCTCTACATATTAAGCTAACGGAAGGAATCAGTGCGTGAATATATATAATATTATATTAAACAACATACACTAAATATAGAACGTATGAAGTTCACGATGCTTTAGACCTATCTATTTGAAAAAGTTAACAAAATACTTCTAGGGATTAATGAACATCTAATCATTTCAACGTTTCAACCTTTCACACATACCCCCTTTATAAGTTCATTAAACTGACACTTAGATTGATAAATTAGTATTGAATAGTACTTTCTGTCACATAAGATATAGACACTTGTGAGGTTCCTTTGATAACTTTGTTTACTTGGTTAACCATTTTTAAAACAATCATGAGGATTAATAGTGTAAAAAAAACTATTTTATCAAAATATGACCTAATTTTATTCATTGTTTGGTTTTATCATACTGATTGTAGGTATATTAATCTTCAATAAATTTTCGGTTAAGTTCGTGCGATGTAGGCAGTATTTGATTTTGTCTATAAAATAGTCATATCGAGAGTTATAAATGACTAACCAATGGTTTTATAATAACTACATGTCCAGCGTGTTTTAAGACCGGAACCGCGTAAATCTATGTGTGTTTCTTTTATTTTAAATTTTTGTGCCCCCCACTACGGAAGCTTCAAAGGGTCACCTCTTACGCGATCTTTTATGAGAAGATTTACGCAAGTCGAAAGAATTAAGGTGCAAAGGCATGATATCTTTAGTGTTTTCGCAAAAAATAATTCGAATAAACGAGAAGATTTGAGTTAATTGGCCAAATGTTTTCTTGCAAAAACAGAAACATTACACTTCACGATTAATATTTTGACGAGAAATTAATAAAAGGTCTTTTTCGAAAAACATGTAGACGCAATACGTGATACATTTCACTTTCTCGATAAAAATTATGACTCATTACCTAATACATAACACCTTGTCGCAAAAACTTTTGATGCATTACTCTAAAACATTTCATTTGATGAAAATATTTTTTGCGCAATTCCTAAAGTGTAGTCTGGTTTTCGTTATATTTTTGTCGAGAAATGACATAATTATATTAAGATACACAGCAGCGGTAATTTTGCACGACCGTAGGGAGTGCTTTATTATCCACGTGAGAACAAGTGCATATTTTATCATACCCGATAAATAACCCTTTTATTAAATAATTATTTCAAAATAGTATACTGAGTTAAAAATAAAACCTTCATTGTTGAAATATTTTTAAAGATGTCTTTTAATAATGTAAATGTTTGGTTTGATTCAATATCTAGCCAACATGAGAACGTCAACGCGCACATTTGATAACAACGTTCATGTGTGAGTTGTGTGTAATGTCTCTGGACACGATGTGCATCTAACACAACGGATATAACTTGATTACACACCGTATATTATTAGTTATAAAGATTGATGACAGGTTATATGGCCATATATAAACGGTTGTTTGTAAATATAATCCGAGCCGCCAAAGGAATCTTAAAGTCGAAAAATATAGGAAGTTTGAAATCATAAAATTACTACATGTGAGTCTGTCACGACTTTAAATACTAGATTTTTAAAAAAAAATCAGTTTCACGGAGCTAGTGATCAGTATATTGCTTTTAATATTTGTGTCCATCTACTTGCCCC